CATCCTGCACAAGCAAGGCTATGGAATGGACCTGATCAAGTAACCGAGAGGTCATTTGATACTTCATCTCTCACTGCACATTTCTTCTCATCTCACAACATACTGTGGTGATTCAGTTCAAATGCGTGAGTTGGAACAGAGGCTTTTATCCCAGGTTTCCTGGAAAGGGAACTGGTCTTTGAATTTAATAAAAGCACATCATTCCATGGCCTCTTTGATGCCACGCACTCCTCCAACTTACTAGGAGCTTAAAGAGAGACTTTCTCTGGTATGTACAAAGATCGTTCTGAGTTACCAGCCTATTCCAAGTGCCTTCCAGAACTAGGTGCATTATAGAAGGGTTTCTGCCCATGAACATCTTTTACAGGAGTCTCTTCTGTTTCCTCAAGCTATAAAGGATGATAGCAGGATACTCTGAGAACTCAACCAGCAGTAGCAGTCTCAGGTAGCTTGCCGCTATGGTAAAACTCCTGTGCTTGCCCAAGAGGAGCCCTGTCCTTCTGCCATCTCAGGTCCCTCAGATTAACACTACAGCTGAGAAGTTTTTTTGATTTTCCAAATCCTCAAGGCCAGTCACAATGAGATTGCTCCTCATTGTGTCACCGAACCTCTGATAGTCCCATTACATGCAGTTTTCATGACCGCTCCGTTTTCCATGACCCTCCGTTTGGAAAGCATTCAACCCCATGAAAAGATGATAAACTGGAAACAGAGACGTATGGCATTGTAAGAGGGAAGAGAGAAGAACAGGAAGGAAATGCATAGGTGTTAAAATTAATGCTGCATGTGGGGATTGAAAGGCTGTCCTCCCACTGGTACCATGATTCTTCGGTACATAAAGGCACCAGAGGCATCTTCCAAATCCCTCTTGTTGCCTTCTCCTACCTGCTTGCATTTCATCAAATGTGGTTGCAATTTTTCCCTTCTGATGCTGTGCCAGAAGACCATCTTATCTTGATTATAATGCTCTACAACACTTTGAAAACAGATAATCTACATCACATGGTTAGTGCTCTATGTCCACTTTGGAGCCTGAGTTCACTGAAACTGGACTCGCGTCTCCCTCTCTATTTAGTACAGTATTAAAAACTTGCTGGATCTGTGACAACCCTGAATCCTCCTGTGTTCCCTTTCAGATACAGAGCTGTACCAGTGAGTTTCAAGCTGAAATAATTACTAGCCATGTCTGCTACTACCTTGAAAAACAGCAGCAGGTTACTTTCTCCAGGAACACTGAGCTGTTAGGCTGCAGCCACCTACAGTTTTTGCTGGTCTGAAAAAGACATCTTACCTAGCAGAAGACGTGCCCAGATAAAGCAACCAGTGTACTGTGTTGTCACCAATTTGTCTGACCATAATTTTCACATACATTGCTGAATACTCGGTCACTGAAATAATGGAGTTATTTTAAAAAAAGACGACAAACTGCTATTGTATGGCCTAGTTCAGAGTCCCATATCTTGAGCTGATTCAGCTTATCTGCCTTTCTATACCTTTGACAAATGTATGTCTTATATCATTTTTTCTCCCCTTCCTCCATATGCCTTACTGCTTTTCCTGCATGTATCTTATCTCCAAATGATGTGCTATTAATCAGCCAAAGACACCCTTCACTGCTAAGTGTTCCTCAACTGATTTTTCATCGGCACAAGTAGTTACTAGTTACAGCATTCCTCCCACATGCTAAAGGCTTGGGAGGGAGGGAGGAGGGGCTGGCAAGTAGGTTAGAGGCTGCCTCACCACATAAATGCTATCTGGGACCTTTATACCAACCTGCCAGTTTGCTGTAATGATAATGTTGCTGTTTGTTCTCAACCAGGTACATGGTGGGAGGAAAGCAGGACTGCACCCTGTCTTATTTTTTAAGTTATTAACCTTCATGCTCTTCCCTTTTTCTTATTAACCTGGCTGAATGCCTGTTCGGTAGTAGCTGAAGCTTAGTATCTGAAACAATGTGTGTATATACACTGTGCCAGTAAGGCTTGCCCAACAATGCTCATTCTGTCATGTTTTCCCATGCCTTGTGTCAGTATCTCGTTTCATATGCAAGCCCCCAGTGCCAGAGGAGGGGATAGGAAAAGAGAGAGAGGCAGAGAGTGAGGGAGAGGGAGGAAAAGAGAAAGAGAGAAGAAAGTAGGGAAAAATTACATCCCTTGGGAATGTCAGCTGCTGTGAACTCACCCGCTCCTCACCATGAAACGAGCTGTGTGCGGGCACAGGTGGGTCCCATTCTCTGTTACTGGAGCACAGCCTACGAGCAGGGTCTAAATGAAGACTTTCATTGCTGTTCCCTGTTTTCATTGGAGTAAGGCCATCACAAACATTTGCAGGTGGCTTGGCCATAGTCTGACACTAAAATATTTGTGGTTGTGATAAAAATCAGAATATTGCTACAAGATGGTTCTATATAACCTTTAGGGCTTGATCCTGCTCTTACAGAACTAGCTCAGTGAGGGTTTTACCCAGTTGCTCTCTGCTGTTTTTATTGCTCATTAAAAGTCATATTCCAGGGCACACTTCTCCATGTTAAGGACTCATCTACCCTTTGGGGCAGCTTCAGATGTTTTAAAAAAAACGGGGCAACCCAACCCAAAACCACTGATTTGAGCACCTCAGAATGTGAGCTTGTTAAAAAGCTGAAGCATCTCAACTTTGTAAGGCCAAACCAAAACCACCAAACTTTGCAGAACTCAAACATTTTCTGAACCCATCTGGATTTTTCTTCCATTGCCTAATATCGAAACCACTGTCCAGTCCGTATTCCTCATGAATGAGTCTTGGATGTAATTCTTAGCACGTTTAGAAGGATAAGATGAAGATAAATGGAAACGACAAGATATGTTCTTTGAATAAATAAAACAGGCACCACAGGGAAAAGACTGAAGGAAAAGATGACAAACAACAAGGATGCTCAACACTTTGGCAAGTAGGTGAAGTCCAAAATGCAGCAATTATCTCCTAGGACACACCATGAACAAAAAACAAAACCTCCTAGGAAGAGGGAAGAATGGGGAACAGAGTATGCTGGAGGTCACACCATAAGTCTCATTCATGCACCAACTCACACAGAGACTAAAATGCTGACAATCGCCTCCCAATAGAGCAGCTTTAGACTCAGACTTAGGAAACATTTGTGTGATTCAATCACAGGGGAGAATTAAGATATGTCATGACAAAGTTTCCCAAACGAGATGCTCACCACTGACTAGGAAATAGGCCTTTTTATTCTCAACCTCTCCAACTCTGGAGATTCTAATCACCATGGCCCCGAACCAACGCAAACCTAAAACCTGACTGACAGGGTCTTGCAAAACCACATGCAGTTTTTTTTCTCATTATATAGAAACAATTGTTTGGAAGCCAAATACAGTCCCATATAAAACACCTCACCACTGAGTATTAAAAATTGTTTGGGGTTTTTTTGTTTTTAATTAGGATCATAATTACCACTAGACCTATTAAGTCACAATTTGAACAGGAGCTTAATCATCCTTAACCCAAATAATGGCATTAGCTGTTTTTCTTTCTAAAACTGAAAAAGGAACTGTTTCTTCCCCCCTCCCTCTCTCCCAGTGCCCTGTCTTTGAACAGAATGGGACATGTATAAGACAACAACTTTCTTGGATTCACAGGCAAACAGTATTGCACATGAAATCTCAGTGAAGACTGTGTTTTGTCAATATGTAACATATACAAAGGCACATCTATCAAATACGTTTACCTTACCCATACTATCAGATTTCTATATTAAGAACCAAATCCTGAAATAGTAGTAAAAAGGAAAGTAGAGGAGCTTTGCCAGGAGCAAAAAACTGGGGCAGTGGATGGAATCCGTGTCCTGTGCATGGCTGGGTAACCCTTATGGAGCAGTCAGTGCCACGGGCCATCCCTGCCACCACAGCACTGGGAGATGGAGAGCCTGTGGTCTATATCCTGCCCCAGCCATCAGGAATATTGAAAGAAAACTCAAGAATAACTGGATTTAGAGTTTTCAATGCCATGGTTTCACTTTTTGGTCTTACTCTGAAGAGACTGCAAGTTGCTCATCAATTATTTAGGCAATGACTGGGGACAGAGACTGCTTTTGCACTTATCATATAATGGATGTGACCAAATTACAAACGACAGGTAATGAATCTAGACTGCTGCTTCATTCTCAGTCCACGGATTTATCTTTTTGTCCATATGTTTTCATGCATAAACCCTCCCAAATTCTCAGACTTGTGTGACCAAAAAAAAAAACCTATACCCTCAAACCATCTGGGCAGTTTCTGTATAATTAAAAACAAGTTATTGTGACTTATAAGGACCTCATGTTTGCTGGAAGTAACCGAGTGTACAAGACACGTGTTTTTGTACGTGCAGTTCTCCAAACATGAGCACACAATTGGCATTCAAGCCAATACAATAAGCATCCATATTGTCAATCTATGGGAATAAATATCAATCCATCATCACAAATTGAGCAACTGCTCACAGAGGTGGCTGTGCCAAACTCCATTTATCTTGATGGTCTTTTTATTTTGTCTTCTAGCATTCCTCAATTAAAAAGAGTACCTAGGAAATGGCCTAATCCCACTGAGCACTCAGAATTCCCATTGAAGGAAGTGAAAGGATCAGCTTCAGAAATACACTTTCTTCCCAGAGCAGTTATAGAAACAACATGAACTTTGAATGTAAGCAGATAAAAACAAAAATCTGGAAGGAGAAAGCAGGACTTCCCTGCAAGTACAGCACTCTGCCCCTTTTGAACCAAAGTGCCAGATCTGGAGTAGATGTAGTATCCTGGCCATTCCCCCACAGTCTGCAACGCATGTTGCAGGGGTCCTTGCCGCATGCTGGCAGGATCAAGTGTGAGCTCCATAACCTCAAGAACCATGAGGACAACATCTGGTCCTGCACGCAGCTGAACCTTAAGAACCACAAGGACAACATCTGGTCCTACATGCAGCTGCTGGAGCCAGAAAACTGGAGAAGTGAGAAAATGGAAATGGATTTACCCAATCTGTCGATTTGTGGAAGGTGCTTGCGTAATGACCGAACTGGACTGTGGAGACGGCATGGCTTGTTGAATCACAACGCTGGTGTCGTGGTTTGGCATCCTTGTATTTGTCAGCTGGTGAGATCCAGGTCCTGCCATTGCTCCTCCAACTGTGTTATGCATGGAGATATTCTGTGAAAAGAAGGGAAATGGGGGATGGTGGAGGAAAATGAAAAAGAAATAAATGTCTTACCTTGTTTTTGTGTTCTATAGGAATACAATCAGAAATCTGAAAGTATCAACAATATGAAATGTTACTGGCTCCTGGTAAATCCCAAGTCAATAGATCTTCTTGTAACCAACAACGATAAAGAAATGAAAAATAACTATTTACTTTTACAAGGCAATATAAATGGAAAAATACCCGCAAGTTGACTGATCACTCTTCTGTGATTCTGACTCGTGATTTATAATGGGGATATTTAGCACATATTCTCCTAACTGAATGCGATATATATTTTGTTTGAAAATTAATTCTGTGGTGAGTGCATGGCACCATGATTTACTACATGGGTTGTTTACTGTGTACTAGGTCTGCTTAGACTGACAAGCAAATCAAGTTTTATAGTCCCAAAGTAACAAACAGTACATGGTATGTCACGAAACAGCCATTTCTATTAGCCTCTATTTCTATTAGCCTATATATTTTATAGAGCAGTAATATCCCAGAGGCCTAGAATAATAGCACTGTATTTGCACATATATAACCTCTGCTTCAGGTAAGTTGGAGCCCTTAAAAAGTTCTTTTTAAAAAAAAAAGTTCACAGATAACTCATCCACAGAGCAAACAAGCCACGAGAGACCAGGATACTACTGAGGAAGGAACTCTGGAATAAAACTTCTCTCCTATTATCCCTACGCACACACACACACAATACACACTGCTGCTAAACCGCAGGGTTTGACTTGGCCTGCGTCTAAAAACAAACAAAACTCTCAGGCCAGAGATAACCCACAGTGTATACATACGAAAAATATGGTAACCTTGAGAGCATTAATTTCCTATCAGGCATCAACGTGTGGATTGTTAGCAGTAAGAGGAAAAGAAACTTTCCATTGTGACCTCATGCTAGGCTGAGGAAAAGGGGAAAAAAAACCCACCTTTACACACACACACACACACACTGCAACCAAGGCTCATGCAAAGCATCTTCCTGACCACTGCAATATTCAGGATTGAAAACTGAAGTTAAATTTCATTCAGAATGCCAATTTGTCTAGGAAATACATAAAAACACAAGATAACGATAGATAAAGCTGGTGAGAAAGAAAACTCAGAGCTCTGCCCAAATGTGGAGGACAGGAGAGGCAGACAACATATTGAATCCCAGACCTAAAAGAAAGATTGCGTTCTGAACCAAAACAAGAATAAACTCTTTAGATGACATTCCTCATGGAAAAAGAGCCAGTAATTAGAGGACCCACACTAAAGGCCTTAGCTGTCATCCCCCTATCTCCCAATTCTTACATATTTCAGGTGATTTCCCAGGCTGCTGTGGACATAGGGATCTCTGTTTCTTTTACAGGAGTTGTTCCAGTCTTCATAAACATATAAAGAGGCAGAGGTGCTGCCTACAGACATATGTTCAGACCACTCGCCCAGTACAAAGAAGACCCAGCTCTGAGTTCCTGTTCCGGTAAATAATTTACACAGTATGAATCAGGTCCAGCAGCAGAACAGCCAGTATTCACTTAGGAACATGGATTGCAAGAGGAAGCCAGACCAAGGACTTTAACAGTAACTTTTCATAGCCCAGTAGTATGTCACGACCATCAGGCAAAAAGAGAGAATAACCTTAGATACATAGAATCTTTTCCAAAAGAAGTTCTCCCTCACCTACCACATTCCTATAAAAATGTTGCTGCTTCAATGCATTAGTGTTTTCTGATGAAAAACTGTTCTGTTAAAAAATAAAAACTATATACATATATATACACACACACACACCCCCAAATCTAGTTCAGGATTCAAAACCATACTGACTTTTGTGATCATTACAAGATTTTGCAAAACCAGGTCTAATAATCTATCCACCCGCAAGTGAATCTTTTAGCACTATCACTTCCTAAAGCTTCCCTTTTATATTAAATGCATGTGTTTCAATTAAAACCTATCAATATGTGATATTGACTTGTTTCAAAGTTCACCCTCATTTACTTTCTCCTTTACACTGCCTCCACAGTTTCTGAATCCTTCCAAATATTTCTGTTTTGCCTGTTTGCTTTCAGTAGTATGTTTATTACAGCAAATATTAAATTGCAAGAAAGGTATACAGTACTTGTATCTCTGGGTCCATAGGGAAGCAACAAAGAAGAAAAACATCAGTCACCCACAATAAGTTTACTCTGCAGTGCTGCACAACTGCCCCCTGCCATTGCCAGCACAGATCTTCTGCCTGCACACGTGTGCCTCGCTTCCAAAGAGGGCTGTCTGCACGAAGCCAAAGCATTGGCATGAAGCTGTCCAGGATTCAGAAAGTCTTTCTCTTGATTACAGACTCCAGACCACAGGTTTCCAAGAGCTACAGAACACCGATCCGCTACACGGGAGGATTTTTAAAGGAAACATGGATGGTGCCATGAGTCCGCGAGGCCTGGGAAGGGACAGGATGTAAATCTGTCATGAGCTTTAGACAAGTGGTACCCTAGCACTTGCCCAGATTTTGGCTGGATTTTGTTGTAACATGGCAGGGCGGAACTTAAAGATTTAATATCAGATGCCTGTGCTCCTAGATTCAGTATTGCCATTTTCTTCTCCTTCTCTTTCCTTTTTTCTCCTATAATACAAGAGCTCTCTAATGTACAAATGGTATGAGTTATGATGGATATGAAAAATTTTGTTTGCACATAAGAGATTGTAATTGCTAGCTTACATGCATAAACTTGTAACGCTGTTTCAAAACTTTAACCGTTTCCAATAAATTGTATCTTTTCAGAAAGCAGGCTGAATATGTGATGCATGGAAAGCAAAAACAGAATGAAAACCTGTCAATGCATACAGATGTCCGTTCTTCTCAGTAATGCAAGTGCTGTTGTTGGGCATATATATATAAAGGCATTATACCTTTATACTACGCTGCCAAGAGAAAGCCTAAGATTTCCCAACAAAATGTCAAACTCAGCATGACTCTCACATTCATAAGAAAAGGATTTGGCAATATCAGAATAATTTACATCAGTGAGATGCTTGTGAATTTAGAGAGAAGTTCAAGCAAGTTCATACTTAAACAACAATGCCTATGCTTTGAAAGACGGCAGGAAGGTAATGCACAATAGATCTGACATTAAGCCTATCTGATCTAGTCACATGAATCATGACATGCAGAATGACTCTATACCACCAGCACATCAAGACTAGGCTCATTGCATGTGTGATGCAGACGGTCTTCAGAACTCCCAAAATGGCCTTGCTGTGTTGAGCTCTGCACCTGGTTCTGAATGGATCTGGATAGGATATTAATGAGCTCCTTGCAGACTCAACTTTGGGCCCTTGTAGAAACAGGACAAATTCAGCAACGTTGGCCAAAACTGAGACCTCCACTTTATAGCTGAATTGTTATTTGGCTAGGCTGCTTCCAGCTCTACTTTTAAGGAGTTCTGCATGCTCTCCCACCAGGGATCCATGAAGAACATCTCACTTTGACTCCCCTTTTCATTCTCCTCCAGCTCTTAAGCCAATGGTTAAGATTAATTGCTACTATGTGCTGGGAGCTCCCAGCACACCAACTCAGAGGAGGAGTTGAAAGGAGTCATGATACGGACAGAGCTCTCCCTCTGCTTTTAACACTCCCAAGACCTGTTCATACACTGACAGAGTATGACATACACTCAGAGTTTTCTCAGAGATCTTCACAACCGTCCTCCAGCATTAGAAGAGGGCATATGAGATTATTATTATTATTCATTTTATTAAACTGAACCTAAATGTTCACACGGGGAACAGGCCACCTGCATGCCAGGAGTTGTAAAGACACAGAAGACATCCCCTGCCCTTAAGATTCATTTAATGGATCTTAATTAAGATTCAATAAATTAAGAGAAACTTATTTCCTCTAGGACTAAGTTTCATCCTCACCAAAGTTCCCAGTCATTCCCACTGAAGCAGAAACTAGGATTATAACACTGAAGAACTTTTATAGAAATGCTCCCCTCGCCCATGTGCTCATACTGTACTCTCCAGCAGTATTTAACATTCAAATAAATTAAAAAAAAAAAAAAGCCATATCCACAAAGCGCTTTTAAATCAACGTGCTCATTCTCAACCTTTCCAGCTGCAAAAGGAAAGGGAATAGATCATCATCAGCTTGGCTTCTCCCCAGTTACACTGTATTCCCCATTTTAGCTTCAGACTTTCAAGAAAACATTTAAGCATTTTTCTCCCACATGCAACCATTTAACTTTGGATAGGCAACATGCTTCTTTTTTCTAAAGGCTAAAAACTTCTTGAAGTCATGCTTCCATGTTCTGATGGAGAGGATTACACATCACTCCGCAAAAACACACACCCTGTTGGCAAGCACAGCAGAGAAATGACGGCTGCGCAGACACAGGCGAAATACACCCCATGACTCCAGGCAGTCACCATTTCCACTACACCCCTTAGGTTCTTCCAGAGAACCACCCATCCATGTCACATGGCACCACCTGTATCAACACATCCCCATCTACTGAAGGCAAAGGATGAAGAAGATGGATCCATTCTTTCCTATCCATGGTAATATTCTGAGTTTCAGACCAAATTTGTTTGTGGTTTTAAACTATCGGAGCTAGTTTCTGAACCGAAGCCAGCTTGTATTTTCCTACTATTCTTTTTTAACTGTGAGGTTTAATGAAAATTGCAAATACCAGTTTTATGCAAACTGAAGATTCATTCAGGATTGTTCTGAGCAAGCTTTTAGATCAATAGAGCTGTCATCTATAACTGATTGTACATAAATATATTTTGCAGACTATGATATAAATTCTAAAGTCAGACGGTATTTGCCATGAAAAAAATGAGAGAAAAATCCAATTCATCTAAACAAAGACAAAAGCACCTTTTTGTATTTTTTTCTTTGCTGCAAAAAATCATTTACCTGTACTTTCCCAAACAGCAACTTTAAGTGTTTTTCAAATAACTCAAGAGAAAAAAG